GTGTAGTAGTAGTAGTAGTAGTAGTAGTAGTAGTAGTAGTAGTAGTAGTAGTAGTAGTAGTAGTAGTAGTAGTAGTAGTAGTAGTAGTAGTAGTAGTAGTAGTAGTAGTAGTAGTAGTAGTAGTCGAAACCAATTGCCCTAGCCAGCCCAACCAGCCAGCTCAACCAACCAGCCACCCCGCAACCCCAGCCAACCCGCCACCCCGCCAACCCACCCACCCCCGCCGCCTGCCCTCCGTCACCGTCGAGAGGGGGGGGAAGTGTTTCTTACAAGCGAAAACCACAAAAATCACCCTCCCGGGGTCCGGCGGGACAGCGGGGGGAGGGGAAATCGCGCCGTACTATGCGGGAGCGGGATTCGCGCCCGAGGTGCCCAAGGACGATTTGGGGCCTCAAATGCGACACTGTCGTCACTTTATTACCTTTCACCGCGCTCCCCCATCCGTGAAACTGTCGTCATTTTTCAGCCCCCGCGAGAGCCTTCTTAGAGGCCCCCAGAGGCTCCAGGAGGGCCCATGGCGGCCTCGGGAGTGCCTAGGAGACCTCCGGAGGGCCCCAGGAGGACCCACTCTGCACCGCGCCCCCCTTCTCAACGGAAAGGCCCCCATGCGTGAAATTGTTTTCATCATTCCGCCCCCGCGAGAGAGTTCTTAGTGGGCCCACGGAGGCTCCAGGAGGGCCCATGGCGGCCCCGGGAGAGCCCACGAGATCTCAAGAGCCCCCCGGAGGACCCACTTTGAATTACACTCAGGGAGCTCCAGAGGGCCCAGGAGGCTCCAAGAGGCCCCAAGAGGCCCCGAAGAGCCCAAACAGGCCACAGGACCCCCAGCACGCTCTAGGAGAGCCAAGGCGACACCAAGAGGCTCCAGGACGGGCGTCATTCCCTCTCCTCCTCCTGCTCGTCGTCGTCATCCTTTTCCTCATCCGTCCTGCTTCAAATCCGTCCTCCCCCTCTCCTCCTCTTCCTCCTCCTCCGCCTCCTCCTCCTGCCTCATCCGTAGCCTCGATGGCTCCGATAGCGCCGTGCGCGAGATCCGCCTCCTCCCCATCCGTCCTCCTCCCTCCTCCCTCCTCCTTCCCTCCTCCCTTCTCCCTCCTCCCCTCTTTCGGGAGCGTCACAAAGAGGCCCTCCGAGGATAATTTCACGACAGCAAGGGCGCCGACACGATGAACAGACACCACGTCGGGGCTCTGGGAACGGAGTCGAAGACGAAATCTCGAATAACTGAGTCTTCGATGTTCGGGGCATTTTTCTGACCACCTGCGAGCCTTGTGGAAACTTCCGAGAGCCTCAGGGGTGGACGTGTGGCGCAAGAACACGAGTGGAGGAGGAGACAACACGACGCTCCACGGAGTAAACTGCACCCGATTGGTTTCTACCCCCGCGAGGGGCGCTACAGGGTAGTAGTAGTAGTAGTAGTAGTAGTAGTAGTAGTAGTAGTAGTAGTAGTCGTAGTCGTAGTAGTAGTAATCGTAGTAGTAGTAGTAGTAGTAGTAGTAGTAGTAGTATAGTAGTAGTAGTAGTAAGTAGTAGTAGTAGTAAGTCGTGTATGTCTAGTAAATCGTAAAGTAGTAGATAGTAAGTAGTTAAGTAGTCAGTAGTAGTAGCAGTAGTAGTAGTAGTAGTAGTAGGCGTAGAGTAGGAGTAGGAAGATAAAAAGTCGTAGTCGTAGTAGTAGTAGTAGTAAGTAAGTGTAAGTAGTAAGTAGTATCGGTAGAAAAAAAAAAGCAAAAAAAAAAAAAAAAAAACAAAAACAATCGTAATAGTGTGTATTCCGTAGTATTCGTAGCTGTAGTAGAGTAGTAGTCGTCGTATCGTAGTCCCCGTCAGTGAGTTGCAGTAGTCGTAGTGTAGTAGTAGTGGTAGTAGTAGTAGTGGTACAGTATTAGTAGTAGTAGTAGTTGTAGTAGTAGTAGTAGTCGTAGTAGTAGTAGTAGTAGTAGTAGTAGTAGTAGTAGTAGTAGTAGTGGTAATCGTAGTAGTAGTAGTAGTAGTAGCAGCAGCAGTAGTGGTAGTCGTACTACTAGTCGCAGTCGTAGTCGGAGTCGGACTCGCAGGCGTCGTTGTAGTCCTAGTCACCGTAGTAGTAGTTGTAGTAGTAGTAGTAGTCGTAGTAGTAGTAGTAGTAGTAGTAGTAGTAGTAGTAGTAGTAGTAGTAGTAGTAGTGGTAGTAGCAGTAGTAGTGCTAGTAACTGTAGTAGTACTGGTAGTAGTAGCAGCAGCTTTAGGAGTAGCAGTAGTGCTCGTAGTAATAATAGTAGTAGCAGTGGTGGTAGTAGTAGTAGTAGCAGTAGTAGTAGTAGCAGTAGTAACCGTAGTAGTATTCGTCGTAGTACCAGTCGTAGTAGTAATAGTAGCCGTAGTAATAATAATAATATTGGTACCAGCGGCAGTAGTACCAGTAGTGGTAGTATTAGTAGTAGTGGCAGTCGTAGTCGTACTAGTAGGAGTAGCGGTGGTAATACGGGCACGAGTGTTAGCATTGTACTACGACTGGTCGTAATAGTATTACTTGTTGTAACAGTAGTACGAGTAGCACGAGTACTTGTAATGGTTTTCGTAGCGGTGCTCGTGGTAGTATTACGGGTCGTATTACGGGTCGTAGTGGTCGTAGGCAGTAGTAGTAGAAGTAGTAGTAGTAGAAGTAGTAGTAGTAGTAGTAGTAGTAGTAGTAGTAGTAGAAGTAGTAGTAGTAGTCGTCGCAGTACTAGTAGTAGAGGTGAATGTAGTAGTTGTAGTGGTGACAGTAGTAGTAGCAGCAGTAGTAGGAGTATTAGTAGTAGTAACAGTAGATCTGGTTGTGGTAGTAGTAGCAGTAGCCGTAGTAGTGATAGCAGCAGTAGCAACGTTAGTCGTAGGGGTAGTAGTAGAAGGTAGAGGAATAAGTGAGGCACTTGTAGTAGCATCAGGAGTAGTAGTAGTAGTAGTAGTAGTAGCAACTGTGATACTGATAGCCGTAGAAGTCGTAGGCATAATAGTAGTAGTAGTCGTCGTCGCAGTGCGAGTAGTAGGAGTAGTTGTAGTAGGAGTACGACTGCTACTACTACTAGCAGTAGTAGTAGCAGTTGTAGCAGTAGTAGTAGTAGTAGTAGTAGTAGTAGTAGTAGTAGTAGTAGAAGCCGTAGCTGTAGTAGAAGTAGTAGAAGTAGTAGCAGTCGTCGTCATCGCATTATTTTTAGTAGTAGTGGTTGTAGTAGTAATAACAGGCGTAGTAGTAGTAGTAGTAGTAATAATCGTCGTCGTCGTCGTCGTCCTTCCGGTCGTAGTAGAAGATGAGGTAGTATTAGTAGTCGTAGTCGTAGCCGTCGTCGTAGGAGTAGTTGTTGTGTAGTAGTAGCAATAGTGGTAGTAGTAATGGCAGCAGTAGTAGTAGTAGTAGTAGTAGTAGTAGTAGAAGTAGTAGTAGTAGTAGTAGTAGTAGACTATAGTCATCGTAGTAGTCGTAGACGTATCAGTCGTCGGCGTACAAGTAGTAATAGTAGTAGTAGTAGTAGTAGTAGTAGTAGTAGTAGTAGTAGTAGTTGTAGTAGTAGTAGTCGTAGTAGTAGTAGTAGTAGTAGTAGTAGTGGTGGTAGTAGTAGGTAGTAGGTAGTAGGTAGTAGGTAGTAGGTAGTAGGTAGTCGGTAGTCGGTAGTCGGTAGTAGGTAGTAGGTAGTAGGTAGTAGGTAGTAGGTAGTAGGTAGTAGGTAGTAGTAGTAGTAGTAGTAGTAGTAGTAGTAGTAGTAGTAGTAGGAGTAGGAGTAGTAGGAGTAGTAGGAGTAGTAGGAGTAGTAGGAGTAGGAGTAGTAGTAATAGTAGTAGTAGTAGTAATGGTAGTAGTAGTAGTAGTAGTAGTAGTAGTAGTGGTATATGTAGTTTTATTCGAAGCCGAACTTCTAGTCGTTAGCGTTTGGGCCGTCGCGTCAGCAGCAATAGTAGTCACAGTAGTCCTCGCGGTCGTAGAAAGAGTAGTGACAGCACATCAGGGAGGAAGACAAACGCTGGCACCGAAAAGGTGCGAGCCTTTTGGCGTTGATGAGGTTTGGTGGCCAGTCGAATAGGTAGTGGCCATTGGTTTCATTGCCACAGAGACACGAGGCGGAGCACATGTGCATGTACACGAATATTGTAATTTATACACATAATTACATACATACATGCATACATACATACATACATGCATGCATGCATGCATGCATACATATATACATACACATATACATATGTGTGTATGTGTATGCACGTGCGTGCAGAGCCGTTACGCCGAGTGCCGGCTTGCGTTCTGAATCCAACCAGCATGGCACATTTTGAATTTCGCCAGCCGTGCGTCCCCAGCAGGCTGGCGAGATTGCAAGACAACGTTCGAGGCCAAGTGCGGAGGCGATTGCTACTGGGGCGAGGACAGTGTTACCAGTCGTGCCATATTGCATTCCTGCGTATGCCGTGCTGCTGGTAGTATACACGTCGCAATGCCATTGCGCACAGTGTGACCACAGCCTTGTGTTCCGTCCTCGTATGGCCTCTTTCGTGCATCCGATACGTTTCTCATTCCACCCCGTTGTCTCTGGGACGGGTGCATTTCTCGTGTGTTTGTTGTTGCATATCATCTGTAGTATTTCCTGCCGTTTTCATCATGCGGGAAAGCAGGGGAGGGCAATCATGGTCTTTGCCAAAAGAAGATTGAGGGTCATTTGGCTCGCTCATGTGCCCAAACAATCAGCAAAGACAATGCCTTTCGTGGTGGCCGTTGCGCCCGTTCTGCTGGTTGATTGGGCAGCACGTGGATCGTCCTCAGCGGCGACGATCGCGAGCACGGACTTCCCCCCCCCACCCCCGACCACGGTGACGGCGGCGGCGAGGACGCCGACCGCGACAGCGACGACGACGACGACGGCAATGACGACATCAACGGCGGCGGCTCAGACATTGTTAAGACGCGGAGAAGAGGCCGCGTTGGGCTCAGCAGCGCCTCTGGTTTTCGGGCCGCTCTCTCGCACGCGGCCTCGCAGGTAGGGCCGCCCCCCATGGCAGTCCTTCGCACGGTTGCCTCCCGTTGTCGCGTCTGTCCTCCAGCCTATTGCTGCCATCGCTCGGGGTACGTGAGGCCTTCGTTGCATGGCCCCAGCTGGATGGGCATCCCAGCAGGTCTTACCCCCAGGGTGGATCTGGGCCGGGGAGCGCGCTGGTGGCCGAGGCTGGCCGTGGCCAGCACGGCCCCATCGTTCCCTCCTCGGCGCTTCTCGTGGCCAGGCAAGGCGACCATGCACGTCAGTTGTTGGAAGTAGGTCGCCACATGCGGACGATGATCAAGAATCCGCCCACCCCCTTGGGTTCCATATGGTCCAGGTTGCCACCACAGGCGGGGGGGGCGAGCTTTACCATCACCCCCAAAAGTTCGCATCGTAACTTGCATAGCACCGTGTGCGATCTGTGTTCTCATTCTTCTGAGGATATCTCAAGCGAAACGCTCATGTTCGAAGATTCGCCGAGTTCGCGGCCATTAGTTTTTCGAAGATGTCTCCGGGGAGAAAATAGTATCCTTCCTAGACCCCGAACTTTATTACCTCTGCGGGATCACTCTCGCCGGCAGAGGGCTATTTCCGGAGTCCCAGATCCCAGATCTACGTTGGGTGCCTTCGTACTTCAAGGATCGAGTGGTTTCCCTCTTTCCTTCGTCTTCAGGGCTGGACGGAAGCCCAATCTATAGTGGAGGCCCATGCCAAGCAACACCATGCCTGCCTCCAGTGTGCCCTGGGTTTCTTGGGTTTCGATGGCTTTTCGATGGAGAGCGTGACGTTCTCACACCAGAAATCAGTGGACGTCCTCGGGTCTCAGGGTTGGGTTTCGTGTGGAAGGTTCCTTGTGGACTGGCCTCCACTGTGCACCCAGCGCCTTCTTACCTCATGTTTCTGCCCGCCTCTGCTGGCCGACGCGTACTCGGGCCTTCTGCTACATACCGCGGGCTGTCCGAGCAGAGGACCTCTTCATTGACCAGTGCCTCGACAAGGTGCGCGGCCACCCCGGCCCGCCTGTGCCCTCGCGGGGCGCGCGGGATCGGCCGCCGATGCCCGCGCGTCCGGTCTTGGAGCGCCTCCCCGTGATGCGTCTTGGCATCGCTCGGACGTGTGCATGTTTCTTTCGGCGAGGACCATCGAGGAGCATCCTTGATCATTTGGCGAAAAAACCACGCACGAAACCACAACAAAAAACACAGGGAACGGACGTCCGAGCGATGGCCAGGCGTCGGACCAGGTCCACTCGGAAAAGCGGCCCCGCACCGCGGACTGCTGGGCTCCGTGCCGGTTGTGTTTTTTTTCTTCCGCCGCGCTCGAGAGTCAGAGTTCGTGCCGTCACGGTTTTTTTCCGAGTCGCCATAGTCAGAAGGAGCATAAGCCTCGGGGATTGGAGGCTCCACGCTGCACGCCACACCAGTGGCCCGAGGAAGTCAAGGGGGGGAAAAAGCATCCCGGCCCCCAGTAGGGTCGGCTGCTAAGCAGCCCTGCCCTGGTCGGTTCCTTCCCAGTAGGCGTTTCTCCTGCAGGGCTCCTCGCTTTGCCTGGGTGATTTTGCTGTGAGGGCGGGACGTCCGAGGCGGAGATTTATCCAGAACCACCGCCAAGGTGATCGATCTTCAGGAGCGAAAGAAGGACGTACACGTACATGAATCCACGCTGGTTTCGAGCGTACGCGTTGCGCAGATGTTCGTCTAACGCGGCTGGTCTCGCGGATCGAGGGGCCGTGTTCATGTACATAGCTGGGCGCGTACGTATTTTGTGGGCTCCCTAGATCTGCGATGACCTAAGCAGGCGGTGGATATTCAGAGCGTGAATTACCTACCCCGCATTCGCTTCCGGGCAAAACCAAGTCATACCACGCGCCTCCTCGTCAAGCGGCCTGACCAGTACAGGCCGTAGTTTGGCATCGCTTGGTATCTCTTGGAAGCGAGGGTGGTCAAAAGCGAGGTAGGTTCGTTTGCCCCCTAGATATGGATGCATGGTCTGGCCCAAGGGCGGGGGAGAGGCAGATGTGTCCGTATGCACCACCACCGCCGAGGTCCCCGCATACGGTCCACGGGCGCTGGTTGTGGATGAGTTCCTGCTTCGCTGGCTCTTCCCCCTCCAGAAGGTATCACCGATCGCGCTCCTTGGCCTCCGTTTATGATGTTCCAACCTACTTCTAGCCTTGGCCACCAGAAAGAATTTCGAGCACCAGTAGAGTTCCGAAATTGGAGGGTTTTCATGCGTCGGGCCCTGGGAGGCGATACTCGCTCGACGCTGTTTCGACACTCTTCTGGGCGCTCGAAGCTATTTCTGGGACGTGGTCCTTAACTACGATGGGAGCAGCATAATCTTAGAAAGTCCAGGGTTCGCCAGGGACTGGTTTCCTTTCAAAACGGCCGAAACCCTCCCGAAACCCTCCCGAAACCATCAAGAAACCATCCGGGAAGGGTTCGGGAGGATTCTCCGAGGGTTTCGGGGGGGGGGGGAGGGGTTTTCGTTGTTGTGGGAGGAAACCAGTCCCTAGCGAACCCTGGGCTTTCTAGGCATCATCCTTGGCCTCCGAGCCTTCCAGCATGCTCGCTCGACGCGCCCTGGGCGGCGATGCTCGCTCGACGCTGTTTCGACACTCTCCTGGGCGCACGAAACTATTTCTGGGATGTGGTCCTCAAGTACGATGGGAGCAGCATGATCCTTGGCCTCCGAGCCTTCCAGCAGGCGCTTCGCCGTCGACGCTCCGCCTCCTGCTCTGCCGCCGCGGCCGGCCTCGCCCACGGGGCGCCGTGCTTTTCCGAGGCCTCCGGGCGGTCCGTGCCGTGGCCGCGGAGCGCGCGCGGGGGGGCTCTCGGGCAGCGGAGGCCGTGGCGGGAGCAAGAGGAGGCGGAATGGGAGGAGGAGGAGGAGGGGGAGAAGGAGGTGGGGGAGGGGGGAGGAGGAGGAGGAGGAGGAGGAGGAGGAGGAAGATAGGGGAGGATTGGGATGAGGAGGATGGGAGAGGGGAGGGGGAGGGAGGGAGGAAGAGGAGGGGGAGGGGTAATGGAGCGAGTAGGAGGAGGATGAGGGGGAGGGGAGGAGGAGGAGGAGGAGGGGAGAGATGGGGATAAGGGGGAAGGAGGGAAGAGGGGAATGGGATGGAGGAAGGGAGGAGGAAAGGTAGGATGAAGGAGGAGGTTAGGATGACGGAAAAGAAGGAAGGAGGAGGAAAGAAAAAGGAGTGAGAGGGGGATGAGGGGGTGGGAGGGAAGATGAGGGGTAGAGAGGGTGGTGGGTGGGGGTGGAAACCGGAGTCACTGCACATCTATTATGGGGACGGAGGCGCTTGGTGTGAGTTTTAATTAGTATTAAGCTTATTTTCATGCTTATTGGTATTTGATTATGCTTATGATTCGTTTTTTTTGGTTTTTTTTTGTTCCCATGTTGCGTTTTTTCTCATAGTGAATGAGATGGCAGACTCTGGGGCGTTCGTTCCCCCGATTTTGGGGGGGGGGGAGGGTGTTTGCAGCGTGGCTTTATGGGCTTTGGGTTGTGATGATTGGGGTGTGGGTGGGGGGTCTTTTTTCGAGGACTCCCCCAGGCCCTCCCATAGTCCCCCCCCCCCCCACGCTGTTCCTCCCCCTCGCCGCTTCCCCGCTACTCGTTTACCTTATAGCAACAGTGCTGTGTGCCCCTCGCCGGAGGATCCCGCCATGCAGCCATGGACGGGGCGGTCCGCTCCCGAGGTGCTCGGGGTCAAGCGCGACAACGACTTCCGGCTGCTGCTCGAGGACGCCAGCGGGAAGGGTCGCCATGAAGGGAACGGGTCTTGAGGGAGATGGGCCCTGAGGTGGCTTTTGCCGGTTTTGCTTCCCATCGGCCATCCATACGGTGTTGCCACATGTTGGCCAGCGTGGGCTCCAAAAAGCATGGTCCAGCATATGGCGTGGTGCGATCGATGCTGTGCAACATCCAAAGGCCTTCGGCCCATCCCGCCACCGTACCTGCTGGACTGTGGGTATGAAGCCTATTGGATGTTCGTTGGGATCTCGTGGGGGGAGGCCTCTCAGGGGCCCCTTCTGGAGGCAGCTTTGAGGCCTCTTGGGGACTGTTTGAGGGCCTTTGGGGGCCTCTTTTAGGGGCTCTTTCATTTTGAACAGGACTCGCTGTCCGCGCCGCCGCGGCCTGTGTCCATTTGAGACAGGAGGCCGCCTGCCCAACAGCGGCCGCTGTTGGTTTGGGACAACACTTGTTGTTGGGCATTGTACCCATTTTTGTCCGTACCTCTCGGGGGCTTCTTGGCGGGGGTCCGTACCTCTCGGGCGTCCAAATGGGTCCTCTCGGGCGTATCTCTTTGTCCGTTCCATTTTTGTCCGTACCCATTTCGGGCGTCCAAATGGGTCCTCTCGGGGGCTTCTTGGCGGCTTCCTGGGGGCCTCCTGGGGCCTCCTGGGGCGCCTCCTGGGGCCTCCCTGGGGGCCTCCTGGGGCGGAAGGCTCTCGGGGCGCTCGGCCGCTCCGGGGGCCTTCGTGGAGGCCTCTTGGGCCCATCCGGGGGGCCGTCTTGGGGGCCTCTCGGGGCCGCATTTCAGGAGGGGGAAAATCACACAGACACAAGGAATCGTCGATTCCCAGGAAGATATGGGAAGTGCCAGAACAAGTGGGGAAACATGGTGAGTCCTTTTATTTGTGTGTATTTATTCGTGTGCCTCAGGGCGCCTTCAACATTGTCGGGGAAACGTGAGGCTCGAGTGCGCCGGAGCTCGGGTCAGCCGACGCTTTTTGATGAGCGCGTCCTGGACTTTGACGGTGCAGTTTTCGTGGGATGTCTGCAGCGGGAGTCCGCGTCAAATTTCAGGCTGGGTCTCGCCATTTTCGTCATGGGCCCTTCATGCTGACCCGAGGTCCCCGAACCCAAGTCTTACGTCTCCCCGATCCTGGAGCGTCGGGCAACACGAGGGCGACAACGCCAAAGTCCGTCAACAACCTAAGGAACATCAATGCGTGTGGCCTCTTGGGGCCCTCGTGGGAGGCCACTTGGAGGCCTCTTCGGGCGTCTTGGAGGCCTCTTGGGTCATCTTGAGGCCATCTTCGAAGTCTTGGAGCGATCTTTCGGCGACTCGGGACCATCTTGAACCGTCTTGGGGGCCTCGAGGGGCGCTCTTGGCCCGTCTTGGAGTCCTCTGGGGCTAGAACAATTATGCATGCGAGAAGATGCCGGGAACCCCTGGGGCCACACGACAGGCCCCGAGAGATATGGCAGCTTGGGGTGCGGGCCCTTTGACAGACTCCGCAGGAGTGCTCGAGGGGCGTGGCAGAGGGCCTGAGAATATGGCCACTCCATGCCCAGCGGCCCGGGGGCGGATGTGTGGTGTGAGCCACGTGGCGCAAGCAATACTATGCCACCTGTGTGGTGCAAGTTCTGTGGTGCAATCTATGTTGTGTAAGTTCTGTGGTGCAGTATATATGTGTAGCGCCATCTACGTGTTGCAAAATATGTGGTCCTGTCTGTGTGGTGTAAGCTACGCGGCGCAGTTTCTGTTGAGCAACCTGCGCGGTGCCATCTATGCGGTGGAATTCGATTTGACTGCCTTGAAGCTGTCCTCTCCACTGCTCGTGCAAACATCCCACCCTAGACCGTGACGGTAGGTACCGAATGGCACTTGGCAACGACACCGACGCCGACGACGACAGCAACAAAGTCGACGACGACGCCGACGACGACTACGACGACACCGACGACGACTCCGACGACTTCGACGACGACAACGACGACGACGACGATACCGACGATGACGACGATGACGACGCCGACGCCGACGACGATGACGACGACGCCGACGACGACGACGACGCCGACGACGACGACGACGACGACGACCACGAAGCCGACGACCACGACGACGAAGACGACGACGACGTCGCCAACGAAGGCGACGACGACAACGAGGGAGGAGGGAGGACGATAACGGCGACAACGACGACACCGACGAGGGAGGAGGGAGGATGGCGACGACGCGAACGACGAAGAAGGAGGGAGGACGGCGACGCCGACGACGACAACGACGAGGGAGGCGTGAAGACGACGAAGACGACGACGACGATGGCGACAAAATAGGAGGGACGACGACGAGACGCCAACGACGGACGACGACGATGGAGGAGGAAGGACGACCGCCGCGGCGTCAACGACGACGGATACGACGACGACGCCAAAGAGGACGACGACGACGAGGAAAGAGGACGACGACGGCGACGACGACGATGACGAGGGAGGAGGGAGGATGGCGATGACGACGACGACGCAAGAGCGCGCGCGCACGCTTTTGTTGAACATCCGTGTTGCGAAACCTTGTGTTTTTTTTATATGTATGTTGGACACGCGATATTGAAATCTTTCCGAAACCGCAGGTTTTTGAAGGATTCCGGCATGCGCGCTCGACGACGCACGCGCGAGCATTCCGGTTTTTTTGTTGGTCAGAGAATTCTCGCGACGGCACGCGCGCAAGGGCGTTTTAACGATTTTGACATGCGCGCGCGAAGCCCGTTTGGTAGTAGAGTGCGCGCGCATGCTTTTTTGTTCTTGAAAACCGTGTTGCGAAACCTTTTTTATCATGCTATTTGGACACTCGGCTTTGAAATCCTTCAGACACCGAAGGTTTATGAAGGATTTCGGCATGCGCGCGCGACGACGCCCTTGTGAGCACTTCGTCCCACTTGTTGCCAGGGATTTCTGAAATCTTATGACTTTTGATAAATGAGTGCGCGCGCATCGTATTTTTGGGAAGGGAGCCGAGGGGGTGTCGATACCGGCTTGGCTGTGATAGTATGAATTCACTGGTAGGATGGACATTGGGTCAGAATCGTATGTGTTTTGCATTTGTTCCCGGGGGGTCTTTCAGTCCGGGGGGGGGGTGGTAGAACCTATCCCCGCTTTAAAAAGGAGAATTCACTTGCCGAGCTTGAAGTTGTCAACTTCACTGCTCTCGCAGTCATCCCACCCACCCGCAATTGGTTTGTAGAGCCCATGCGGGAGCGATTGCGATGAGTGGTGGGTGTTGGCTAGGGCATTTTTGCGGCCGCGCTAGCCCGCGCATTCTTGCGCGCGCAGCGGCCAGCTAATTTGGCGCGACCGACGCGAATGTGGTGGCGCTGACCGCTCGGCACATTTCAGCGGGCACTTCAGAGCGAGTCGGCGGCTTGGGCGGGCGCGGTATCATGGCAACCTCGTCAACGGCAGACGCGATGATGATAGTAGCGATGTTGGCGACGATGTTGACAGCGACGACAGGTCAGCCAGTGACGGCACCGATGCCGATCACGCCGACGACGATGACGGCGTCTTCGCGTCGGTGATGCAGGTTTTGGAACAAATTCGAAATGCGCGGGCGGCAGACGCGCGAGAGTGGCTCGCATGGTACTCTTTGACACGGGTCGTGCCACCCTAGCACGCGCGCAAGTGTTTTCGAACGATTTCGACATGCGCGCGCGCGAAGCTGGTTTGGTAGCATTTTATGGCGATGTTGAAACACTCATGTTTTCCTAAGAATTCGCAAGAGCGCGCGCGCACGTTATTGAAAACCCGTGTTGCGAGACATGGTTTAATATATATGTTTTTGTTGGTTGCAGAACACTTGATTTCGACATCCTTCCGAAACCGATGGTTTTGGAAGGATTTCGGCATGCGCGCTCGGCGGCACTCGCGTACGCACTTCGTCCCATTGTTTGCAAGGGAGTATTGAAACTTATGATTTGTGATGAACGAATGCGCGCGCATAGTTGCAAGGGAACCGAGGGGGGACCGATAGCGGCCTGGCTGGGATAGCATGAGTTCACAGGTAGGATGGACACTGGGCCAGAATCATAGGTGTTTTGCATCGGTTCCCAGGGGATGGATAAGTCCGGGTGGGGGGGTGGTAGAACCTATATCCGTTTTAATTTTACAAAAGGAGAATGGATGTGGCAGTTGTCAGCTACATTGCCGGACCGAAGTGGCAGTTGTCAGCTCCACTGCTCGTGCAATCATCCCACCCGCCCACCCGCAAGTTGGTTTGCTAAACGCATGCGGCGGGGATTGCGATGGTCGCTGGGCGTCTAGCTGGCGCATCGCTGCGGCAGCGCTGGCGCGAGCAGGCTTACGCGCAGAGACGCCAGCTAGTTTGGCGCGACCGACGCGGCCGCGGTGGCGCTGACCGCTGGGGGCTCCCCAGCGCGTCTCGGAGGCCACGCTGACGCGCGGGCAGTTCCTGACAACGGTTGACACGACGGTGAGACCTGTAAGCAAGTGCTTTGTCGTCTCCAGGGTCCACAAAGGGCAAAGGTTTGTGTTTGCGTGTTTGCGTGTTTGTGTGTGTGTGTGTGTGTGTGGCCGTTGCTCCGCCGCGCCGCTGTGCGCGTGTCGGCGACGCCACACATACGCTGCTCTTGTGGCGCGTAGCTGCGGCGCAAAACAGCTGCGGATAAGAGTGACGGGGCGGGCGTCTGGTGGGTCGCGGGTTGTACGCGGATGAGTCGCGGGTTGGGTCGTTGAGTGCGCCGCGGGTGGGTTTCGGGCGGGTTGCGGGCGCGGACGAAGACAACGGCAAACAACAACACCAACAACAACAAGAACAACAACAATTACAATCACTTACCCGAACGCTCAGTGTTCTCACCAGTGCCAGGGTTTTCATGCGACGCCAGCCAATACCCCCACTTTGTGGGGGGGCAGTGCAAGCTCTACCAAATATCCACACGACTCTTCGCCACCACCCACACCCAGCTTCCCGCCCTATGACGTTCGGACACTTCACTTC